GAGAGAGAGAGAGAGNGAGAGAGAGAGAGATTTGCGTATCTCGATAGAATTGGAGAGAGATTTTGGTGTTTTTGGATTGGAAGATATAGAGGGAATATTTTCAATAAGAGGAAATAGATATCACATTTCAAGGGTAGATTCTAGTGAGAGAGAAATATCCTTTAAGAAGCCAAATGCTTCGATCTCAATGGAGAGAAGATGATGAGGGTTGACGGGAAGGTTAAGTTTGGGTTTCAGTTCGATGAGGTGATCAGCGGGTAAGGTTGTTTGTGGCATTGGTCCTTGTGGCAAAATAGTAGACTCATGGATGGGGTTCATCAATACTTGCTAATACAAAATTATGAGGGACGTTTCCTTCATCCCACATGGGACACCCAATGATGAAATATTCATGCAAAAAGAAAGAAAAAAAATATTGGACATTCCTTGCGATACCTTGGGTGAAAAAAAACATTGGACATACCTTGGGTGGGACTGTGACTGCAAGAAACAAAGCCAAACATTGACGACCAAGAAATAGCAAAACTAGTGCACTTTTGATACCTTGGATTGATAATTCAGGAAAAATGGAGAGATTGAGGAAGATGTTGCGCATAGAATTGAGCTGTGTGGGCGATGTGGAGATGTGCAACCTGAGTTTTACGTGACCGCTGTATACCAGTAAAGTTGAAGGGGAAATTCTAATGGACAACTGTGGGACTGGCTTTGCTTTATGGGGCGAAATGTTGGACGGTCAAGAAATAACATACCTGTAGGGTGAGTGTAGCTGAGATGAGGATGTTGAGATTAATTGAGTGGCATGACAAGAAGAAATAGAATTCGAAATGAATACATTCGGGAGAACTTAGGTGTGACTCCAACAGACGATAAGATGAGAGAAAGTAGACTTAGGTGGGTTGACCATGTGCGGCACATACTCAATACAACACCGGTTAGGAGGTGCGAGTTGGTTCAAATGGAAGGTTAAAAAAGGGCAAGGGGTAGGCCCAAAATGACATGGTTGGAAGTAATGAGAAAAGATAAGAGGACTTATGGCCTCACTGAGGGTATGGCCCTTTATAGAGTGGAATGGCAGACCGGGATTGGTGTAGCCGACCCCAAATAGTTGGGAAGAGGCTCTGATGATGATGATAATGATGACTAGCAATTGTCTTTTGCCAACTTGATTGGCGCTCATCAAAGTGCCGGAGTTTCTATGAATATGCAGATGTTGATGAAGAAGTAGATCAAATAGAATAAGCCAGGTGATGTAATAGTTGATTACACAGCTGTTGGCATGACCATGGCGACTATCTTGAAAGGCAGTTATGTTTACTATATTGTTTTGCCTCGTGGCAACAAAATGACAACTCTCATGTCAGGATGTACCATGGATGTTGATCACCAAATATGGGCTCATTAGTACCTCTTCACCTATTCCACAGGGATCTTTCACCTGAAATATTGAGGACAGTTAGAGAAAGATGAGCCGATTTCTGCCAATATGTTGTTTTGGAAGGCCAGGTGAGGACTGATGGAATCTGAAATTATGCCGTCATATTTCGTCCCTCATTATATACTCTACGATCATATGGCTGGCATAAAATTCTGTGTTGTTACTGTTCAATGGGTCAGATAGGATCACCTCAGATCCATAGCAAGACTTGCAGCCTTCTTAGCTAATCGACGAGCCGAAAATCAGGGCCTGGTTATTTGGGATCAAAACAAAGAAGCAGCCCAAGAAGAAGAAAGCTGGTTGGGAGAAAGATGTTTCTTGCACAAAGAATTGATTGGCTGATACAAATAGTCAAAGAGCATATTTCATGTGCAAGTATTTGAATGTGTTTGGATGTTTGCCTTAGTCGAGGAGTGGCAAGCCTGATGGGGAGTTTCTTCAGTCTCCAGAATGCGAGATCTCTTTATGTTTTATGGTTATGCGGACACGACTGAGTCGAGCCTTCTCCAATGCGGAGAGGATGATGCAAATTAGGAGATGGGCTAATTCAATATTTTTATTTTTCATTTAAAATCTGGGGCCTTATTTATTTCTTTATTTTAATGGATTAAATATTAGGCCTAGTGTGAGAGATTGGTAGGGATTCTTATTACTATTAATGTCCAATTTCAGTAGGAGTGCCATGATTTCGTATTTTTTGTGTCATTGTTTAAGTTATAGTTGGATGTCATTTTTTCTATTATAGTTGGATCTCCTTATTAAGTTGGAGATTAATGAGGACTCCTAGAAAGTAGGTGAATTAGATAAGATTGGGATGGGAAATACGTGGGTCTAAGAAGAGCCTCTAAGAAGAGCCTCCTAGAATAGTGAATCCAACCAAGGCAGGTAAAATAAGAGAGTTTGAGAGAGACAGGAGGAATTCATTTAGAGTCCAAAATTTGAGAGTAGTATGTGACTTGGGAGAGAAGATCCTATTTTGATGGGATTTACTAGAGAGAGGAAGTCTGTTTTTCTTTTGGAGGGGGGGTGTTGAGAGAGAGAGAGAGAGAGAGAGAGAGAGAGAGAGAGAGAGAGAGAGAGAGAGGAGGACGACGTAAGTAGGTTAGGTGGTAGGAGGTAGGGTGTTAGTTAGGTAGGTAAGGTAAAGTTATTTAGTTTTCGTTTTCGTTTTCGTTTTCGTTTACTTT